TATATACTGTATTGTCACATCAGCCAACCCTGTATGGATTTTAATAGTCATGCAAGTATTCAGTCGGCTGAATATACACTCAAGTATGCACAAGCACACACCTCTCAGCTGTGTCCTGTCATGCTCTCTACCCTGTCAGTGCTACACACACACACACACACACACACACACACACACACACATATATATTTGCTGACACAACTGTCTATGCTCTTGGGTTTATATCCAAAATATCTGATCCCCTAAAGGCATCGTTCACTGAATTTCACTGTATTGCACATTCATCAGCTGACAGAGTGAAATTTATTTGTGATTTTATTGCCTCAGCCTGACAAATGGCGAGGAGGCGTGAGAACATATCATGAGCAGCTGCATTGACACTGATGAAAGGACTTGATTCTTGTATAGTCTTGGACAGTTTGGATCCTTTGGCACCAGAACTCATATTTAGTCCAACACACGGGTCAGAAAACAAGTGGTGGTTCTGTTAGAAAAGTCATTCTACCTTTTGTCGAATCTCTTCTTCCATCTTGATGGGGGATCCAAGTTCAGCAACCTGACGGACTCCCTCGCTGGCGTAGCCTCCGTACTCCCACAGCACGTAGCCTCTGGAGTGGGACGCGCCAATCAGAGCCGACCAGTGGTTGGCTCGTCCTGGAAGACAGGAAATCAGGGGTATGAGCGGTTTAATGGCTTCATGTTCAGGTGACGCAGAAATAACTGCCGGAGGAGTCACTGAGTTACTCTCAAGCTGTTTTCAGACGGGAAATCTGGCGAGGGAATTTCCAAATTTTGCTTTTCACATCTGAAGAACCAGCAGGAGGTTGTCTGGGTCAGAATTATTCAGAAAAAAAGACAAAGGGTGGCGTCTGGGTCGAGCAGCGGGAGGCGGGAGATGACGTATTCTGCTGCGGAAATCAGCGTTTTATTTACAGCACATTGACTCCGGCGTTGACCCTTCACACTAAAAGCTCTCCTCGTCTTTCCAAGTTGATAAAACAAGAAAAGTTGAAACTTTTATTTCAGGGCTAGTGTTGGACGGAGCCTGGGTAACCATGCCGTCAGTGAGATCGATGAGTGATGGAGAAGCACCGGGTTAAATATAAAAAGTCCTGAATGAATGTGTGTGAAAGTGACCTGTATTGTAAAGCGGTCGTTAAAACTAATAACGTGCTACATAAATGCAGCACATTTATCATTTACGCTGCTTCTTTCCAGTCGTTAAGCTTAAAAATAATCATTTTTACTGCAGTATAATCAACATCATGCAGCATATACAGCACATGTGAGTGTTCATGCAGCTCCTCAGTGTATTTTCTGCTCCCGTGCATGCGTTTGTGCGTGGCCCGTGGGTTGAACTCACTTGGGTAGTCTTTCGGATGCACTTTCTCCGACCAGTTGCCGTAGAAGGTGAGTCTGTACTTGGCCGTTCCGCAGGCGCAGCACTCCATGGCCGGAGTTTCTGTAGCTTCACCGAACACGCGCTCTTAAAGGGAGACGGGATGTGATGCACAAACGCTCAGACGTGTAAAGATTCAAGGGTAAACAAGATGCAACAAACTTATTATTACACACAGTTGAGCAGAGAAGCAAAGATCAGCCAGCGTCGGAGCTCTGACACAAATTCACACCTGAATAAATTACCAGATAAATGACAATAACCTGGAACAGCGAGAATGTCACAAAATTACATCCATGGAACAAACCGATTTTAAAATGACACATTTATCCTTGACGCAGACTCATGAATATTCAGACGCTGCCCTTGACCAGTGTTTTGAAAAGACAGGTCAACCTGAATATTTATGAGCGACAAAACTATTTTGGAAAAAAAAAAAAAAACCTCACTCGATGTCTAAGTTTAAGCAGAATGAAGGCACCTAACTTATGTCATCAAATTGAAACCGTGTGGCTTGATTGGCTTGCATAATAGCCTGGAAAATTAGATTTTTAGTGAGGAGAGGAATATTTTATGAAAGTGAAAACCCCCTGAGATTAAATCTGAGAGACCATTTGTCCAGACTCTGGGTTTTATTGTACAATAAACGTGTGCATCAGAGCTCAGAGAGTCCCGTCACCACGCCGTCTCACTTTTCCCCCCAACTTTCTGCAGGTAGATAACAAAAGAGCGACGACGTTGCTCCGCGGTGACGTGCAAAAGGAATATTTAAATTCCACGCAGACTCCCACGAGTTCCATAAATCACTGTCCTCGCAGTTTTCCCTGCTCCCTCTGTGGAGTTTCATACTTGTTTCAGACACAGTACAAAGACTGGGAGCTGCTCTGCTCCAATGGCGTAAAAAAACAACAAAAAAAACCAGATAAAACGAGGGATAGTGGCACCATGATGAGCGGTCAAGGATGAAAAGATGAGCAGGCAAAGCGGGAGAGGTGAGGCGATGACGGGCAGCTGTAATTACCTTTCTCACAAAGCCGAACGACGAGCGAACCCTCTTCCTGGAAATAGATGACTCTCTTCTGGACGATACTGGCCCTGAAGATAAAAAAAAGAGAGAGAGAGAGGGAGTGAGGGAGGAAAACAATGAGAAATTATGAGATGAAGAAAGGGAAGAGAAGGCTGGATGGCACAGGGGGAGTGAAAGGGCATTAGATGGATAACACTGTAATGTGTTTTTTTTCCCAGTATCTGATCTAGGCCGATGTGTTTCTCAGTGAGAGGGGAAGGTAATGGTTTCCCCGAGGTTTCATAATGGACACAGAGTACACCTCTTCTCACAGAAGCAGAGCTGGAGTCCTCCGAGCGTCACAACAGAGGCACACCGCAGCAGTATAACATTTAACAGAGCAATCACACACGGACCTGTACAACTAGAGACGTGGGGTTACGGTCGGAGGCGAGAGTAAAGATCTTTACACAGAATGTGGACGGAGTCAGATTCTAACGGGTGACACACAACAGTTAGAAAATATTTCTCCAATAAAAACAAGCCATTTCGCCGGGTTTCATTTATTTATATTCCTGTTCCGTGGAAATGAAAAGCATTTCTCACACTGCAGATACAAAGCTGCGTGACATTACGGACAAAATGAAAACGTATGGAAGCCCTGAGGTGACAGAGGGCGGAGCCTTGGTATTGATATGCACGCTCAACCAATAGTGAGTCGGTCGCAGCTGTCAATCATGTCGACGTGTCACCCTGTTTCTATATCATAAAAATAACTCATTAAAACCAAACTCATCGGAAACACTCGAACAAACATCAGTGTGATAAGAACTGACGAGAATTACAGAAACAATCATACAGACGCCCGCCACCAGGGGGCGATTGAGGCTTTTAGCTTGTTGAACAAAGACAATATTCTATTAATCATCTTTTTAAGAGGAGCTGGAGCCAAACCCAGCAGACATCAGCATCTCCAATCAACCGATTCAGAGGCCGGAGACAAAACCCAGAGACTGAAAAACATCCCGGTTAAATAACCTGAGATTTTCTAACAGCGTCTTCAGCTCACGTCTCATCCAGGAGACACATAAAACCCAGATGTGAAACTGGCACAAGTGAAATGACACCGAGTGTGGAGACTGAGGAGGGACTGGTGACATTAAGTAGGAGTTAGTGTTTATATTGCTCCTATAAATCTCTCACAGACTGAATGGTGCAATATAGCCTGCAACATGGATTGACTGCTTGGGCATGAAATTGAAAAACAAAAGTGAAATATACAGACAATTGTTGAGCCGCCCTCCATTGTTCTTTAAGTACACGATCTAATAGTTTCAGTGATCATTGATCGAATTAATCAAACAGGAAAAAAAATAATTTAGAGAGAGGTTTGATGGGTGAGGAGTTCACATTCCTCTTCTTCATCGGTTCAGTCTGTGCAGCAAGTTCGCTCGTCTCAATTCTGACAATTTGTCAATTGCAGGCAGCTGCACCTCAGAGGAGGCAGATTGTTCCCGAGACGTGTGTGGGAGGAAACAAGTTCTAACACTGTTGCTGCATTTCCCTCTGCTCTGTATATATATATATATATATATATATATAGAGAGAGAGAGAGAGAGAGAGAGAGCGAGCTTAATATAACATTTCCAGTAGTTTACGAGTGGAAGGATGAAACAAAGCACATGTGCATTTACTTTGTGATTGTGCAACTGGTGTTCAGTCCTTAACTCACTTCACAAAATTCTACAAAGATATTTGAGATTTGCAACTGAAATCAAACATTTACTCTAAACTGGAGGAAAGTCATCATCGAACGTCTGAAGTGGAATCGGCTGATTAATTACATAACAACGCACACCATCTGATCAAGATCTTGAATATCGAGGATACACTGAGCAGCTTCAGGGTGAAACATGTCATCACAGATTCACGTTTGTGGCCACGTGGTAACATCTAATGTTCTCTCTCTGGTTGGGTCTCCTCCACCTCCTCAGATAAACACACCTGGGTCTGCAGCTGCTGAGCTGCAGTTAGTTTCGGGCCAGTTTGACGCAGTGCCGGAAACATTCAATGATGTTGTCTCGGTGTTTTCACAAGATGAAGCTGCACAGTGGAAACGCTGCCACCAGTGATTAAATGAAGTGATCAGACTGAACTTCACTGTGCACTGGACTTTCTTCATTTTTCAAGTTGTGGATCGTGAACAGATGCTTTTGTTCTCCACTCTCTGGCCTTTCAGTCACTTTGGTGAAACTTGATCTCAACACTCCGTTAAAACCTTTTTCCAACAACGTTTGCGGTTCCTGGCTAATTCCGATCTGGTCTTCTGATTCCTGATGAGTGGGTTGTATCTTGGCCTCGACCTTCACCTCTGCCCTGCGGAGGTTTTTCTTTACAGATGTCGTCCTTGGCCGACTCGCTCAGCGTCTGCTTTCTCAGTATTTACTTCTCAGGACATTTATTGGCTACAACAATGATCGATTCCCTTCTTCTGTCGGCTTCAGAACAGCTTAGTTCTCTCTCAAGGACAGCTCTTCATGTTGGTTAATCCCTCTTAGCAACAAATGCTTCACAGCAAACGAAACGTTTCAATATCTTAGCTGACGTTCGCCAAACTGTCTTCTGGTGCACAACAAGAACTGAAGGAATCCGCCATCGTGGTTCCAGTAGTTTTGGACGGACTGCAGCTGCTGTGGGTTTATACCTCTGACGCTTTTTCACACACTGTGAAATGTGAAGGAGACGCCTCAGACAGATGCATTAAAGCACGGAGAGACCAAACATCAATACCACTTATGGCTGCATTGCAAAAAAAAAAAGCATATTCATAATCACAAATCTATTTGTTTATATGTTTCCGCGGCACCACACTGCTATTGACTGCTACTCCCCTTTCTCCGTCTACACAGGTTCCCTATTAATCATACTTCCAGCAGCCTTCCACGCCTCACACGTTACTGTAAATATATTCCGTATCTCAGCGACATGTCTGCTGACTCGTCTCCTGCGTACCCTGCAGGCTTGGATGACACTGAATCTTCCGCGTGCTGTACGGATTCATGCGGCGAATTCAATTGTGTAAGCGTTCATACAATCATCCTGACTGCAACGATAAACATCACAGATGTGGAGGAAAGGATATATCAGTTTACGCTGTTTACGTTTATCCTTTTCGTGTATTTGCACAAACTGTGGTTGTGGAGGTAAAATGTGATGCGACCAAACATAAAGTCTGTGGGACTGTAAAGTACCAAATCAAAAAACTACGCTGGGTGATATTGATGTTTACAGCTGAGAAATTATTTATTGATTGATGAAGGATGAAGAATTTCTCCCATTATGAAAATATGAACCCAATATAATGTTTCCCCTGCATCTTAATGAGAATTACACCAGGTCGTCCACAAGGGGTTTGCAGGGAGTCAATTAACACCGTGGTAATAAATTGTCCTGGGTATAAAAGAAGGTGAGAATCAATTCTGGGCAATGAAAGAACAAATCAGTTGGTTATTTACACAGAAAATTGAACGCAGTAAATGGAGTTTTTCTTTTTGATTATTCATTACTCTTCCTTTGAGTTCTGTTCTCTGCAGATTGTGACGCCGACAACATGATTGTTTGTATTTTTGTTCCTTCAACAAAACACACACGGTTCCGTCCGCCAGTAAAAAGTTGCAGGAAACATGGTCACAATCTCTCATTCGGAGTAAAGCGGCGTTTCAGCAGAACATTATGATGTCACAGGGAAGCTGACCTTTCCCCAGTTGGCCAGTCGCTGACAGTTGGTACATGTGGAGAGAACGAACGCAGCCTGGAAGCTGTTTTTCTTGTCCCCGAGTCAGAACACACGGTTCTTCATAAATAAAATAACAGTTTTCACCAGCCACAGGTTTCTGAGGGAACAACGGCAGCTGCTGCTGCTGCACCAGAGGTGAGTTGAGGTATTTCTGTTTGTCAGTTATACAACTTGTGTTTTTACCTCCTCCAAGTATCTTAAGTTTAAATGTGAGCAGGACGACACAAAAACTTCTTAAAACTAGAAAGGGTGCAGCGTGGGCCACAGAGGGAACCATTAAATGTTTAGAACAGATTTTATTAAGGAGATCCAGGGTTTTATTTTTAGACGTTTCTCTCGAAAGGCATCGAAAAACCTCCGCTGAGGCCGAACGTTCCCCTCACATCCAAGCTGCACCACAACTCCACACACTCGTACATATCAGTCTGTTAAGGATGCCTGATGTTTTTCATTAGGATCCATGAGTGTCCAATAAGGTTTTGTAAATCCTGATGGCCGTGCAACCAGGCAGCAGTGTCTGATTATACTTGGAATAATCTCCCTTTTTTTTTCAATCTTCTTTTTTATCTTTGTTTGCAACTGCACAGACAGAGAACTTTAGATCCAGCTCTCGAACAGCTTTAGAGTCCTCGCAGTGAGATTTGTGTTGTCACTGAGCAAGCAGAAGACTCAAGGCCTCCTCCTCCTCCTCCTCGTCTTCCTCCTCCTCCTCCTCCTCACAGCACCAGAATACTGAGGGAAGGATTGTGAGGGAGGTCAGTGTGAGGTGAAAATGTGATAAAGAGACGGCCAGAGGGCAGCGATGGAGTGAGAGCAGAGACGTATAAGACCTGATAAGGAGATGAGAAGTGATGGACAGGACAGCAGAACTTTGATTGGAAAACACTCTGCCTCGCCCCCGCTCTCTCTCTCCCTCCGCTCACTTTAGTCTCATCTCTCTCCGTAACTTTTAGCTTCAGGTGGAAATGTTTCCAGACACAAAATGACATTTCAGGACTTTCTGGTGATTAGAGAACAGATTTGGGATGTGAGCTCGTCAGAACAACCACAAGGTCCCTGGTGACCTGAGGTGGAAAACACAAAATCTTTCACAATGACACACAGTCTCACATCGTGCACACCGCTGCAGCCCGAGGCGGTGGAAACCAAACGGAGCTTTGAGGATGGAAAAAAGGTGAATATTCAGTTGTGATTGCCATAATAATAATAATAAAACGCTCAAAAAGAAGATTTATCACAGATGACATTATACTTCTGAGTTTTCTCCGCAGTGAGTGGGTGGTGATGACTTTC